CAGTGCGGGGCACGAAGTCAACAGATGGGCTACTGCACACAGTGCGGGGCACGAAGTCAACAGATGAGCTACTGCCCCCAGTGCGGGGCACGAAGTCAACAGATGGGCTACTGCCCCCAGTGCGGGGCACGAAGTCAACAGATGGGCTACTGCCCCCAGTGCGGGGCACGAAGTCAACAGATGGGCTACTGCCCCCAGTGCGGGGCACGAAGTCAACAGATGGGCTACTGCACCCAGTGCGGGACACGAAGTCAACAGATGGGCTACTGCCCCCAGTGCGGGGCACGAAGTCAACAGATGGGCTACTGCACCCAGTGCGGGGCACGAAGTCAACAGATGGGCTACTGCCCCCAGTGCGGGGCACGAAGTCAACAGATGAGCTACTGCCCCCAGTGCGGGGCACGAAGTCAACAGATGGGCTACTGCCCCCAGTGCCGGCGTGCAAAACAACAAAAAAAAAACAACAACAACAAAAGAAACAAGTGAGGGATGCATTGGAAAGAAGTGCTGCCAATACGCTATTTTCTCGATGAATTCACCATTCACAGAATCGACCATTCACGAATCGGCTTTCCAAGAAAGCTTTGGTTACCACTACCAAATACTTGACACACTGTTACATCACCATTTTCCGAATAACAGTTTACCAGCTCCGGTTTACGAAACGAAATCGTGATGCACAATGCAATCATGTGATAACAATTAGGTCACCATAACTTGTTAAGAACATAACCTGTAAACCGCAAACGCTCTTCTTTCCCGCAAAAGTACTTTTTAGAGGGCAGGCCACCCCCGTCCCACACCATTTTTTTGTGGTCCCAATGAGAACTGGCCTTGACGGTGGTTTAGTCACGTAGCTTCGTCGTATCTAACATTTTTATGTAGTAAATTTGTACCCAGCGGCCTGTAAACAACAATGGAATGTATTCTATTTCACGATGTGACTACCAAACTAAATTTTTCAATTAAAAAAAAAAAAATTAATGACCTGACAAAAAAAATTGTCAAAACAAATGCTTCACACCTGCAGCACTGTGAGAGCTCGTTTTCAGTCTCACCCAGAGGTGGCATCCAAACAAAAATTCCGTGGGGTTGGGGGAGCGGGGGGGGGGAGTAGGACATACGTCACCATTGTA